AGTAAAACTCGATCTTTGACTGAAGCAGAACGATTATTACCCAATGCATACAACCTATGAAAAGAGACAGTAAGAGGTAAATCTCCCAAATAAACATCATGTGAAAAAGAAGTAGAAGCCCCATCTCTTATGGTAATAGGACAAACAACCTGAAAAATCAAGCAACAATCACGATGTTGGGCTGACATCCGAGTAATACCATTCCAAGGATCTAACCAAGCTATCATCGGGATCAAAGGGGAAGAAAAACCATCTATGCCATAAAGGGATTTCACAACCTAAACCCACATCAAATCTGGGGAATGGAAAAATTCTTCAAACCCATTTTAAAGGCTTCCATTATAGTGGCCATGTCAATGTTTGGTATGTTCAACGCTTCCTTGGAAATCCTACTCACGAAGTCCCTATGGGATTATTTAGGATCCTTGACCACTCGATAAAGATCACTATTGTTCCTTTCGAATATCTTGCTACAAGTAAAATAATTATTGAAAAGATTAACTAAGTGAGCAAAAGATGTAATAGAGTAAGGAGGAACATTGAGAAGCCATTTCAAGGTTGATCCTATGAGACTCGAGCCAAACCTTTGCATAAGCAGGCTTCTTTTAAGTGTTACGGAATAAGAATGATTTCCACACACACACACACACACACACTCTCTCTCTCTCTCTCTCTCTCTATATATATATATATATATATATATATATATATATATAATCTTGTGTGATCCTCTTTATCTGTGGTTCCATCGTAAGGTTTCATGATGGGAGTTTGGAAGAACTTTGTAACTTCAGCGTCGGCTATCAAAGGAATAAATCTTGAGATCCTGTGACTAGTGGGGGATACTTCCGGTTTTGGTTGGACCACCCTTGGTACGCTTGAGATCATTTATGTTTGTCGTGGAAGCTCTTTGGCCATGACTGGACTTATTCCTGCATCAAGATTTATAGAGTTAGTACTATAATACCCTGTTTCAGACAGTTTCCATTTCGAGGTGGTAATCAAGGATTGGGTATTAGCATGCTTCGAATCCTTGAGGAAGTTAGTTTTAGGCTCAATTGGAGGTGGATGATGTATATTCGAGGATTTGGGTATTTGGTTTGTGTTTTTGAGTTATAGGGCATTTTAGTAATTTGTCGGGCTTCTATGGAAATGGATGTTTGTTTGGGATATAGTAAGTCAGGTACAGGTTGATTAAAGAATAGAACTTCTCGTTACCTTTTCGCAGATATATGGATCGTTGGAATCGGATGTGTATCGAAGAAGTTATGGCTTTCGGAATGTGTAAGGTTTGCTGGGAAGCCCGAGTACGTGGGGCATACTGGTGCGAAGGGTAATACACAAGGCGTAGTTCAAGGTATGTGTTGTACTGTGAAGGTTGTATCGGGGGTTTGGAACCTCATACGTTGGGCGTACGAAGTGTATGTGCGGCATTTGAGGGTTAGAGTAAAACCGTAATTTTAAGTGAGTGTACCCTATATAAGCACATTAAGTCCTTAGCATTGGCCTCTTTACCTGCCTCTAAGTCCTCAAAAACCTACAAATTGATCTTTAACCTTCATGATTGTATTTTGAGCTCATGGTGTCCATTTATGGTGTGTTTGGTCCATTTCCAAGAATAGGAAGTTTGGTGCAAGGATGGGGATCAAGGAAGAGCTTATGGATATGGATTATGGGCTTCATTTCGAGCTTGTTTGAGGTAAAAAAAACTATGAACTTGATCATGGATGTCTTAGATCTAGCATGTATGAATTTTTGGTTCATTTTGGTCTCAAGAATGAGATCTAGTGGATTGGTACGACTCCATGAGCTATGAGTTGCCACTCTTGGTGTTTCTAAGGTTCTTGATGTATAAATTTACCTCCTTTAGGGTTTGGAATCCCCCATGTATGAGTTGGTGTCCATTTGGAGAAAGTTTAATTGTTTACGTTGATGTTGGGTTCTTTTGAGGCATGCAACGTCATCAAGTCAATGACTTTATGGGTCTAGACGTCATTTAAGAAGTAGATATGTGGTTTGGATTATTGATCTGGAGCATTAAGTGCTTAATGTTGAAAATGGACTTAATGGGTGAGTACGCTAGGCGTACAAGTCTGTACGTGTAGCGTACAAGTTAGATTGCATGTACTTTTAGCGTACAGCTAAGTACGCCCCGCGTACTAAGTCGGGAAGGTTTGCTGTGTTGGGCTTTGGTGTCGGCCGTCTTTTGGGCTTAGTTATCTTGGGCCCTGTTGGGCCATCAAATTTTAGGCTAATAATTATGTTAGAAAGGCCTTCAATGTGTTTGGGCCGAATTTGGAAAATTAGGCCATGATTTGGGCCTTAGTTTTGGTATTTAGGCCTCTTGGATTATTAGGTTTGGGAATAAGTCTTGGTCCAAACTAGATTAAGGGTAAATTGGTTGGTTAGCCAAATAATGTATTTTTGGGCATTGTTTGAGAGCCTAATGTTGATTGGGTGTCGTTTAATATTGATAGTTCAGAGGATCTATCAGCCAGCATCTAGGGATCGTCTGTGTTTTCCGGTAGTGCGAGGTGAGTTTCCTCACTATGTTTAGAGGGTCGAAGGCACCAATATCGGTCCATGGTTTTATGTTAGGATACTAGATGTCTGCTCGACTCTTGTACACGTTATATGATGATAGGTTACCGGGAAAGGCCCGATGTCAGGCGAGGCCTGAGGAGGATATCTTATGTTAATTATCTGTATGTGTCTTATGATTACTGAGTGAGGCCCGATGCCGGGAGGGGCCCGATGACTGTATAGTATGATATAGTCCTTGTGACCATTGCATGTTCTAGTGCAGTTATATGTATACATGATTATAGGGTTATATGGTTATGTGTGTACCGGGCGGTGCTCGATGCTGGGTGAGGCTCGATGACGGGAACATATGCTAGTGTTTATGATCATTTTATGGGTTAGCATGATTATGTGCCATATTGTATGTGTCTAGTGGTTGAGGCCCGGTGAGAAGCGAGGCCTCAAAATAACAGATCTACAATTCGAGCAAGGCTCATTGTTGGGCAGGGCCCGAGGCCGAGTGGTACTCAACACCGGACGAGGCCTAATGGAGGGAAGGAGCCCAAAATGTGATTTATGTATGTGTGGTATGTGGTATCTTGGGGAACTTACTAAGATTTGTGCTTACGGTTTTCAGTTTATGTTTCAGGTACTCCTGTTTTCAATATGGAAAGGCTCGGGATGATTGTAGAGCATACACCACATGTTTCCGCATTCTGAGAATTACTCATATTTAAAGATGTTTTTGCCAAGTCTTGTCTACCTTGGTTTTATGATTTGTTATATATTAATGATTTATTAATCTAAAACCATAAATTTTGTGTCAATATTTTGGGATGTTACAAGTTGGTATCAAAGCCTCGGTTTGAGGGATTCGGGCACACTCTCGGGTGTGTCTGAAATCAAACTAAGGATTTGGTATAGATTTTCAAAAATAAATATATTTAGAAATGGATTTTTCTAAAAGAAGAAAGGGTGTGGTGCATGCAATTAGCCGAGCTCAAGTAAGTTTTCCTAAAATACCCATACATGTTATCCGTTATGCTTTAATCTGTGAATTGCATGCTAGTTAAGGCTAAGGATCTGCTCAGTTTCTACATGATAGAATGCTAGGAGAGATTCCTTGTTTGCCTATTATTTAAGCTTGTAGACGTACATACTAGTTTTGATTAGCCAATAATAGGTTGGCATGATATGTGATGCGTGGTAGTCTAGGGAGCATGGGATGCTAGATTGGGTTTGATTTATATTCGTAAGGCAATCAGTAGTGGGGGTGAGAGCTCCTAGTATGAGTTGTAGTGTGTGGTAGTGTGTTGGTTTGAGTATGGTAAGGCCATGAGTGGTAACCATGGTTGGTTAGAGGTGATGTAAGACTGCGATGGGATTGTAACAATCACCAATTTGAGATATACCATTATTAGAAATGGTCGACTGTGAGCGGGAATCAGTTCATTTCTCGAGCATGTCGGTCACGGTTGTCGAGTAGTATTTTCTATTTTAGGTTGAGGACCATTAGGGTCCGGGTGGGAGTTAGGTCTGTATAGATTTAGATGAGTAGGACCCGTGGGTGAGGCCTGTGTGATTATGGTGGATCAGGCTGGTCCTGGTAGAGACTGTTGGGTCAAGGTATTGGATCTTGAGTTGTAGGATCATGTGGGGATCAGTGTGTGGTGCAGAATGATTTAGGCTGTGTAGCCTTGCTGTATTGCCTCTTAGGAACCTGGTGGTTGGACCAGGTGCGAGACTAGTAGTCTCAGAGATGGGTTGGGAGTAATTATTTATTGGTTAGGTGAGGGGTCGATAAGAATCAGGAGGTTGTGGTGTGAAATGCAAGTGTAGATTTGTGAATCTCAGGTTATAGGTGTTGAAACAATAAATAATAGATCGATAGATTAACTGAAATAAACAAAACAACAAGAAAAATGAAGATCAAAATAGTGCCAAATGATTAGATTCAATAGGATTAGAAGAGTTCAACAAGAACTTCTGTTTAAAGACTACATAGGGCAATATAACTTGTTAACCCTAAAATGGTGCATGCATGCATTATAAATAGTCTAACCCTAATACCATTGAAATCGGGTAGACATGCCCAACCTGTTACAATATGGACTATTCTAGTACAAAACAATTGACACAACATTATTTATCCCAATCATCTCCCCCTTTGTGTCAATTAAAGAAGGTAGATTCTTCAGTGCAGCTGTTGTTTCTGAACCTTGAACAACTTCCGCATTAATCCAAGAAGAGTGTTGCGAACCACGATATACCATTTGATCTTATCTATGAAGCACTTCTTTACATTGTTTTATTATTCCCAAAACATTGTTTAGATAAGGTGTAGAATAAAGATGCTTGTTTGATAAAGAAAATAATCACTTCTGAACTTTCTTGCCTTCTCATTGTTGAAATGTCACACTCCAGTAATATTTTTGGATTTTTCCCAGCCTCATCTTGCAGATATCATTCAGAGCTTCTTAGGGTTGCACAATTGGTTTCTTTCTGAGCATAGTAGCGATCTCCACATCTGTTTTACCAATTTCTTGAATGTAGGAGACTAACATTCTTTTCAGGTGTGCCACTATTGGTTCGAACTTTTGTTTATCTTTTGACAAATGAGTGAACAAATAAATCCATTCGTATGGATTTAGGCACGGCAAGTCAACGAAAGTGAATTCAAAGACCGAACTCCTTGCTCCCCGGACAGCTTTGAATCGAACGTTGATGAAGCTTTCTGTTTCATCCGGTCTAAAAACTTTCACTATAGCTATCTTCTTCGAACTCCATGTCTGATATTGAGGCTTTCTGTGCTTAAGATAAAAGGAGAAAAGCATGTGATTAACATCATTATCCGAATTAGGATCTTTCTCAATCTTGTCAAAACAATGCAATAGAAAAGCCTTCGGAGTGATCGAAAAATCAAGTTAAGATTCCAAATTGTGTTCCAATTCAAATGAGACAACTAGCTCCAACCAATAAACATTCGGATTGTCAATGGCCTCGTTTAGAATCCGGTCCTTGGATCAAGGAGGGAAAAGGGCCTTCTGAGTTTTAAGTGTGACTTGTACCTCATGAGCTTCCTTTTCACAAGCTTCAACTTCTTTGCTAACACGCTAAATCTCATCAAGCTCTTTGTCACGTTTTTTTTGTTTTGAGCTTTTCCTCTTTTGATAGATCTTTTTCTTTTTCACCATTTTCATCAACAATGTTTCCTTAGCCTTTAGATCTAGAAGCTTCATTACCCTTCTAATCTTTTATTTTCGGCTGTGGGTTGTGTTCAAACTCACCCAAAATCACCAACTGTGTTCTTGGGCTCTTCACTAGATGTTTTCTTAGCTTCTCTCCTCTGTTTCCGAATAGCATCATGTTCCGAAACACGTTCGATACAATTAAGCATGGAGAATACCAGTTTGAGTTTTTCTACAAGATGTTGTCGAACCGAGACCATGATCAACGAGTCACATGTCTCTCTAAGAGTCTGAAAGTAAAGGTTGACATCTGCGACATAGCTTTTGAGAACTTCCTTCTCGGAGTTAAGATCATCAATCTGTTTGTTGGCATGATACAACTTCATAGAAAGAAATTTAGCTTTCTCAGTTTTAACTGCTATCTTATCCATGATTTTATTTTCTATGGACAGATGCTCCTGTAGCTTCTCAATATTTGAAACGACATAGGCAATCATCTCTGCATAATCACCCCTGAGTTCTAAACGAACCTTAGATAAAGCTTCTTTCTTCGTTTGAAGAGTGGCACCGAGATTCGTGATAACTTTATTAGCAGATACAATATTTTGATCCGAAGATTTTTAGAATTCTTCCATAAACTGCCTCACATCATAAAGTAGTTTTTCGACTTTCTTGGTCGTTTTGTCAACATCTTTGGTTGAGTTAGCAAGATTGTTGGCATGCTCTTTTGTTAAAGTCTTAATCAGAGCTTTGTGAGACTGAGAAGAATATTCACTATTGGAGGAATATTTGGAGGACTTGAGCAGAGTATCCAATTTTTAAATTGAGGGCCTTGAACTGCCTTTTCATCATGGGGGCCTCATCATCATCAGAAGACCGATGAAAAATGAATGGGCTATAATGGAAGTCTTAAAAATCATCTCGATCATTACCAAAAGTTGTATCTGGATCATCATCCCTTAAGGGAAAAAGTAGGGTTAAACTCGGACTGACTGTAACACCAAAAGCACCTCCCGCCGTATCAGATACATTGACAGCCACTTGAGGTGAACTTGTAGCAGTGGTTGTAGTAGATTCAGTATAGAGTGGAGTTGTTTGGGAAATGGATATCTATGGTTGTGAAAATCCAATAGATACATTTAGACAAGGAGCTATGGTGATGTTTGTAGAGATTGGTATAGACGTAATAGTAGGAGAAGGTGGAGGAGAAGGAATTTGAAATGTTTCATTTGTTAAATGAGTAGAGGTAGAAATTGGAGATTATACCTTTGCAGTGGACTGAGTAGGAATAGGCTCCGAGACCATGGGTTATGAAGTCGCTACAGTATGTTTGGTTTCCCTTTGAAAATTTTTAGTCCTCCGAATATCTAAAACAGTGTTAGAATCCGAATCCTCTTGAGGTGGATCTATGACATCAGCGGATGTTTCTACACGGGTTCTTGTCCGGAGCACTTGAGAGTACGGTTCACTCTGAACCAGCTCCGCTTGGGAGCGAAGGATTGGTGGAAGTTCGTGATAGCGAGCTTTACTCTAGCAGAGATTTTTGAGGTGACCTGGGAGAGGTTCACCACCATGTTCAGAGACGGGTATGTTCCCCCGGTGGAGAGGGAACGATTGATTCAGGAGTTCTTAACCCTCAAGCAGGGTACTGATTATGTTACAGTTGTTACCAAGAAATTTCATGAGAGTGCGATGTTTTGCCCTGAGCAAGTGTCTACCAAGCAGGCTCGCATGAGCCGATATCCTAGTGTTTTGAGGAGAGATATTCAGGAGTTCGTGGCGAACTCGACTTACCGGACATTTGCTGAGCTCCAGGAAAATGCCCGGAAGAGGGAAATTGAGTTGGAGACTCAGGACAGGTAGGAGGCTGGGTCACAGAGGATGGATCGGCGACCGACTCAGTCTCAGCTGGCAGCCAAGCGGGCTAGACCCGTTGATTCGAGATCTGGGAGCGCGAAGGGCCGCACTTGTGGGAAGTGAGGCAAGAGTCATGAGGGGTCGTGTAGGGCGGGAGTATGCTATAAGTGCGGGAAGGAGGAGCATATTGCGAGGGATTGCCCCAAGGGATTTTCTGTTTTCTTCTATTGCAACCAGATTGGCCATCGGAAGGCCGAGTGCCCTCAGATACATCAGGCATCAGTGCAGGGATCTACGCATGCTGCTTGGGCTACTGAGGTTCGGCCAGTGAAGGCCGAGACACCAAAGGCTCGTGGGAGAGCCTTCCAGTTGACAACAGAGGACGTCTGCGTAGCACCCGACGTTGTGGCCAGTATGTATTCTTCTCTCTGTTTATTTGAGTCTGAGATATTATGCTTTTATTATGTTATGCGTAGGTACCTTTCTTGTGAATACTGTGCCTTCCTTAGTACTATTTGACTCGGGAGCAAGTCGATCTTTTGTGTTGTTAGCTTTTAGTCATCATATCAATATTTTCGAGAGGCTTTGAGTCGACCTCTTTGAGTTTCTATAGCTAACGAGTGAGCAGTGTATGCCACGGAGTTGATTCGAGGATGTAGACTTGAGATCTTCGGTGTGGGGTTCCCGATCGATCTAGTCCCGATTGCGATGGGGGACGTATGTGTCATAGTGGGCATGTATTGGTTGAGCTAATTTGGAGCTATTATAGACTGCGAGCGTCAGCTGGTGACGATTCGAGACCCTAATGGGGGAGTACTTACGGTGTACGGTGAGGACCCGTCCTGAGTCAGCATTTTTTTCGGCTGCTAGGGCGAGGCAGAGTTTACAACAGGGTTGTAGGGGATTTGTGGCCTATGTGATGGACACGCGAGTGGTCGCTGGGAGGCCAAATTCGATTGATGAGGTCTTGATTGTGCGGGAGTTCCCTGATGTTTTCCCCGAGGAGTTGCTGGGTGTGCCTCCCGAGAGGCAGGTGGAGTTTCGTATCGACTTGGTGCCAGGGGCGGAACCTATTGCCAAGGCACCCTATCACCATGCGACGCCCGAGATGCAGGAGTTATCCTCGCAGCTTCAGAAGCTGTTGGGAAAGGGGTTTATCAGACCGAGTAGCTCACCTTGGGGAGCGCCGTTCCTTTTTGTCAAGAAGAAGGATGGTTCACACCGGATGTGCATTGATTACCGGGAGTTGAACAAGTTGACGGTCAAGAACCATTATTCGTTACCGAGGATCGATGATCTGTTCGATTAGTTGCAGGGAGCATCTTGGTTCTCCAAGATAGACTTGAGGTCGGGATATCACCAGATGAGGGTTCAGGATGAAGATATCCAAAAGACAGCGTTCAGGACTCATTACGGGCATTACGAGTTCGTGGTGATGCCTTTCGGGCTCACTAATGCACCAGCAGTGTTCATAGATCTCATGAACAGGGTGTGCAGGTTGATGTTGGATCATTCGGTGATTGTATTCATCAATGATATCATGGTGTATTCGAGATCCAGAGAGCAGCATGAAGAGCATTTGAGGGAGATCCTCGGTGTTCTGAGATCGGAGAGGCTTTACACCAAATTCTCCAAGTGTGATTTTTGGTAACGGGAGGTCCAGTTCCTGGGGCACCTCGTTAACAAGAAGGGGATATTGGTCCATCCGGCCAATATCGAGGCGGTGATGAGTTGGGAGGTGCCGATGTCATCTACCGAGATCCGGAGTTTCCTAGGGTTGGCTGGCTATTATCGGAGATTTATCAGGGATTTCTCTAAGATCATCGTACCACTCACCAAGTTGACCCGGAAGGGTGTTGCTTTCTCATTGGGTCCGGAGCAGTAGACCTCATTTGAGACACTTCGCTAGAAATTGTGTGACGCTCCGGTACTCGCACTCCCGGAAGGGATGGAGGATTTTGTGGTGTACTGTGATGCATCCCTATCAGGGTTGGGAGCGGTGCTTATGCAGAGGGGGCATGTGATTGCATATGCATCGAAGCAGCTGAAGCCTCATGAGGTGAGGTATCCCACCCACGATCTAGAGTTAGGGGCGGTGGTGTTCGCTTTCAAGATTTGGCGTCACTATCTGTATGGGGTTCGGTGTACCATATACACGGACCACAAGAGTTTGAAGTACTTGATGGATCTGCCCAACCTAAATATGCACCAGAGGAGATGCTTGAGTGTGGTAAAGGATTATGATTGTGAGATCCTGTACCACCCGGGCAAGGCTAATGTGGTAGCTAATGCCTTGAGTTGTAGGGTGGAGAGCGCCCCAATACGAGACATTTGCATGAGATTGACAGTGATGACTCCAGTGTTGGACACCATTCGAGGGTCCCGGGCGGAGGCCATGAGACCTGAAAACCGCAAAAGGGAGTGGGTGATCATGCAGGTATCGGATTTTGTTACCGATAGTCGTGGACTTATGACCTTTCAGGGTCGGATTTGGGTACCGTTTGTGGGAGGAACGCGTACCATCTTGATGGAGAAGGTGCATAGATCGAGGTTCTCGATCCACCCCAGGGCCACTAAGATGTATTTGGACCTGAAGGAGTATTGGTGGCCCTGTATGAAGAGGCATGTTACATGGTTCGTAGAGAGGTGCTTGACTTTTCGCAAGGTTAAGACCGAGCACCAGTGTCCGCATGGTAAGTTGCAGCCGTTAGAGATTTCCGAGTGGAAGTGGGAACATATTACCATGGATTTTATCACCAATTTACCAAGGACTGCTAGGGGTGTTGATGCAATTTGGGTGACTGTGGACAGGTTGACGAAGAGCGCTCACTTCCTTGCCATCAGTGAAAGCTTTTCTGCGGAGAGGCTAGCAGAGTTGTACGTTAGGGAGGTGGTATTGCGGCATGGAGTACTGATCTCAATCGTCTCAGATCGAGATGTGCGTTTCACTTCCAGATTCTGGAAGAAATTTCATGAGGAATTGGGTACGAGACTGCATTTTAGTACCGCATACCACCCATAGCCTGACGGACAGAGAGAGCGTACGATTCAAATGCTCGCGGACATGCTTCGGGCATGTGTACTGGATTTCAGCGGGAGTTGGGACACGTATTTGCGCTTGGCTGAGTTTTCCAATAACAACAGCCATCATTCGAGCATGGGTATGCCACCCTTTGAGTTGTTGTATGGAAAGAGGTGTCAGACCCCCATTTGTTGGGGTGAGGTAGGGCAACGTGTGATGGGTAGTACAGAGATAGTGCTTCAGACGACAGATTAGATACAACAGGTCATACATAGGTTATTGACTGCTTAGAGTTTCCAGAAGAGTTATGCGGATAGGCGTCGATCGGAGCTCGAGTTTCAGGTTGGGGATCTTGTGTTCCTGAAGGTGTCTCCTTGGAAAGGAGTAATCCGTTTTAGGAAGAGGGGCAAGTTGGGCCCCCGGTATATTGGGCCGTTTAGGGTGATCGCGAGGGTGGGCAGAGTAGCATATCGCTTGGAGTTACCTGCGGAGTTGGAACAGATTCAT